CAAATTTATTGCAAATTAATTCTAACTACATATAAAAAATTGACATTAAAATAAATTAATTATATTTTTTATAAAACTAATTAAGCAAACAATAGAAAATTAAAAAAATTCAATTTAAATCGCTGTATAAAATCATGCAACTATGTATAAAACATAGAGAACTGTAATTTTCGCGTGTAAAAATTAAGGAAAATTAAAACATTCTAAAAAACTAACAATATTCGTAATAGACATATTTTTTATAGCTGAACAGGCAGCAAAGAGTTATCCACGTGACATCATCTGTTACCAAATACATTTTTAGTAATTCTAGAAACACACACTCTCGAGTCCCTTGCTAAATAGACAACTGGAAGTATCAAAGTGTGAGACATGTAGTTCATGTAATTAAAGTTTATTGTCACATAGCTACGCAACCCTATAACACAGTGTTCCATACAAATTAAATCGTATATTGAAGATAAATTAAATTAATATTTTGTAGTCATTAATTTATTCTAACCTTTAACTAATACTGTGCTACTACTATGATGCTTTACTCTATGCAAGATACTACAATTTAATTTCTATACCAACAGTCTTTCAAAAAGATAAATACTTTAAACTGATGTCGTCAATTTTATATATCAAATACATCATATATATATATATATATATATATATATATATATATATATATATATATATATATATATATATATATATATATATATATATATATATATATATATATATATATTAAAAATAATAAATGAATTTTATTTTCAATAATAAATTTTACAAAACATAATATTAAGCGTGCCATCGTCTCGCACGGTCCAGCTTTCATTCAGTTACTCTGCTGAACTGAATACCAATAATTAAAAAAAAAAGTATAACTTGAAATATTTGCCCCAAAAACCGATGAAGAAATAATAAAAACAGTTAGGAGGAACAATTAGAGTTTTAGTCCCATCAACCATGCCCAAATATGCAACAAAATTGCTCTCTATATTTATTTAAATAAATTATTATGTAAAAGAAACTATGAATCACGTGAATCCAAATAAAACGCGACAATTTAATACCTACTACATATGCGTTTTGTGTACGTAATGAGTCAGCAGATAAGTTAAATGGCCAAGTAATTATCATACAACGAAAATTCGAACAGAGGCAGAGGGGCCCGACAAAGTCCCTGGCCACGTCACTGATCTGAAAGTGGAAAAGGGAGTGAGTCAACGTCTGATGCATGAACTCCCTGATATTGACTGAAGCTACATGATAAAGTCACCGGCGTGTTCAGAAAAGTCTTCGGTAAATGGTCGGTTAACCTTATAACAAAAAAGGATTTATATTTTTTTAAGGGCACCTAATAGATCAGGGGGTGTTTTCTTCAAATTACAGCTCCATAAAGTTAGGAGAAAATATGTTTTATGTATCTTCCTAGAGTACAGAATCAGTTTCTGGTACTATATTTGGACCGTAGATTAGATCTTGCGCCTTTCTACTTTGAAGTATAATAGACAGTGTCACTTTAGACACCTTAAAGATGTTTTATTTTGTTTGTTTTATCTCTTATGATATTGTCGATGAGGACAACGTACTTTGAATCACTTCAAATCATGACTTAACATCAATATATGTTTAGTCGCTTCCTTTATATTTTAGAAAAAATGCTTTAAATTAAAAAAAAAACAGATCAGATGTTCATCCTACGGTACTCGAACATTCGATATTCGATTTTCAATATTATATATTAAATGCGAGACGTCCGTGGAAGCTTCAAGAAACAGCAACTTTTTCCAGATTTAAAAAAGTATTAAAATATTTATCACCAAGAAATTTTAGTGAGTCTTACGCTTATTTGTACTTTTAAGTCTTATAGCCTTGTGGTGTCCGATTTTAGGAAGGTATCCATTTATGTCCGAATAAATATACAAGGTCACGGCAAAAAGTTATTGAACTCTGAATATTATTTCAAATTTATTATTTTCAATAATTAATATTTTTAAATAAATAAGGAAATACCAAAGATTTGTAGACTTAAAAACACGACTCGAATCTCGATCAGAACGTCGAAAAGCGTTCAGCTTAACCTTCCAAACTCTTCAAAATGTCAAAAAATTACGGGAATGTGCCAATATTACAATCGCAGGTTCACTTGAATGTCTATCAAAATAAAAATACACAGGGTACATAAGTTTTTGACTTGACCTCGTATACTTATTCTTAGAGTGGCTCTAATTTTTAAGAGAAAAATTATTGAAGACACAGTTATTATTTGTTTGATAAGTTGTTAAATAGATCGGATACAAAAAATAAAATAGCTAGCACAACTTGGTTAACTTGTGCTTGAGGAAAAATAGCACGCAACTGCATCTTGCTATCTTTAAAGATAAAGATACACTAGATTTCACCAAATATGTGTCTTCGATGATGCAATGAAAAATAAAAAAAAGTAAAAAGGAAAATTTCAGAACAATAAACTATCTGAAAAACATTTTCTGACCTAAAATTTTGAAAAACTTGTAAATTTGCATATGTAAATAAAACCAAAATCGCTTATTGGTACTTAAATATTGAATACCGTCTTATAAGAGAGGCATAGAAGTACAGTCTGGTTCGACCTGTATCATCTCGAATTGTTTCCGAATTGCTGAATTGAAAAATGAAACCCAAAGAATCTCGAAACTTTGGAGATGTCTATTTACAATTATTATGCAAATGAATGATCAAACGTTTCAATACAAACATAACAGAATCCTCAGTGGAGTTAGCAAAAAAATTTAAATGATGGTTTCATTAATTGTAATAATTTTTATGTACCATACGCTACTGATATACGCTTGGGGTGCCAAACTAGGGAAATAAACAAATGAAAGCAGCGAAATTACTTTTGTTCGCGTCCGGACGTATTGTGCGAAAGGAGAAAACTCGCCAGACAAAGTTATCGATCCTAGACTCAATATAGATGCGCTCTCTCTCTGGGAAAAATTGTAATAGAAAACCACCGAAACAGGAATTGCATTGCTGGATGGCACAAAAACATGAGTAATCGTTAGTCAGTGTAATTCCATTTTTCTTAATGGGCATTATGTACTGTCGCTCATATCTAATTTTTTAATCTAACATAGCTTTTAGATACATAATAAGCAGCTACTGCCTAGCTGTTTTATCTGGTTACCTGCTTAAGGTACAACCATTTTGTTTTCTGTATTGACCTACGACTTAAAGGTAGAATACAGAAAAACTCTGTCAGCCAAAACGATTGGTGACAAAAACTTTGATGCATTGATGAATCAGTGCACGGCGAGGTTGATTTGTATTATTTCGCGGACAAGTCGCGCCGACATTTCAAGAATGCATCATAGAAGGCTGTGACATAAGTTTTCAAGGTCGAGGAACGAGGACAGGACCCCGAGAGATGAATCGGAAACATGGCTGACACCGTTGCCAGTTGTTTCGAAGTTAATTAGTTAACGGCAACGGATAGCAAAAGAGGTATACCAAGCAACTATTTACTTTCAGTCCTTCTTTTCCTCCTTGTCCTAAGTGGTTTACCTATCAATAAGTAAAGGGGGCACAATTTGGCAACGCAGCACGAAAAAAGACACCCCCATAATACTTACCCATTATTCATTGGAACATGAAACGAGAAATAAGCACTAAAGTGCAGGCTACCTATCAGAGTTCATAATAACCTATTGTTATAAAATGCATTTATATTTTTTATTCCAATTAATTGAATTACTTAAATTATGGGACGTCGTTTTGTTTCTTTTACATCTTTTTAACCTCTTAACTCAAGAATTTTGTGTCTCCATGTTGATGTGTTTAAAATCCACATACCAAGTAAAACAAAAATTGATATAAGTCACACAAACATAAATAAGGTAGAGGAATAGCTTTAGGTAATAAACAACCTATTTGAAAAATACATCTCAACATTTTAATTTTATGTTAATTAGTTTGCTGAAACGGTTAAGATAATCAACTTGGCAACGTTGATTGCCGCCGGCCGGCACGACAAGGCAACGCAACCGCCTTTTCTTCGCTCATGTCCGGCGTCTTTCCCGCAAGCCTTCCAGTTAGGTTAGGACCGAAAGCCGGTATCGAATCAGCCAATGGAAACGCGCGGTTTGCTTTATGCCCAAATATGGTAACGTTTGTGAATGAACCCAGAAGAGGGGATCAGCGAACACGCCCGAACTTCCACGACTATCAAATCTTTAGCGCGATAATTTGATTATTTTATTGCTAAACGACCTGTTATCTTTGACAATTGGGCAATTGCGTAATAGTTAGTTGTCAAAGGTCAAACGAAACGCTTTTTCTTGAAAAGATAGGAAAACTTCCCGATTTGGGCATACAATTTTTTCTCCGATTTTCGCACCTAACCGTCTGTCGGGTTCCCGTTCCACTTCCTCGCAACCGGCATCTTTCCACTCATTAGTTGTTCGTTGCTTGTGACGTGTCTCGTTCAAACGGTAAGAAAACTATTTTTGATTTTTTGATACTGGTGTACCTAATAACAAGCGAAATTATCGTACCTAATTATGTTTTAACTCATGATTTATTTTTTGTATAAAACATGCTAGAAACCATTACTTGCTTGGGGCGTGATGCCGGCTTTGCCTTAAACGTTGATCAACGTAAATAAATGGGCTATTTTGGTTTGTTTAGGAACAAGTGGTTGATTTAAAAATATACGCGGCCACGCTTTAGTTGATTCGAAATGGTACACCAACTTTTTTGATTCGGTGCCAAAAAATAACGTTTTTATCGGAGCAGTTGATCTCGCTGCGTTTAATTGACTGTTTTGTTTAAAATGCCCGCTAATGATCACTTCGTTGTTTTATCATCAATTTCTGAAAAAATCCATTTCTCGTTAAAAATTTTAAGGAAAAAGTGTGTCAACCAGATGAGATTTTTGGGGGGAGCGGGGAAAAATCGATGCAGTGTAATGCCATATATGGTAATGTTTCTCGCTATTGGCTCGGCGAAACGTTGATACTGCGCTCTCGGCACAATCCGGAAGGGGGGGCGACCAAAGATATATATGGTTGGGAGCTTTGAATTTTCGACATTCCAGTCTTGTGATATACCAGGCAAAGTGCAGCAAAAGTTGCGCTGTGCTAATACAACAAATTTTTATATTTTTTACTCGAAACAAAACGTAAGTCCCATTTTCTTTTTATTTGAATCGCGATTTCGGCGAAGTTTTTTAAATTCTGAAAGCGGGCGTGGCCGTTACCGTAACGTGTGCGATTAAATTGATCGGATGTGCCTTCAAATGGGGATTTCAACAGTGCCCGAGGATTATACTGTTTTTGTGAAGTTTTTTAACGGTGTTGCTATTTTTAAAATAATTTATTGACCGGAGCAGGTACCGCAACGCCCTTAAATATGTAACAGAAGATTCGAATTGTGTGAATACCGGTTTTGAGCAACCGGAATTTCAACCGGCTTTTTCTCCTCGTTTTCGTTCATTCAGTAAATCGATCGCTGATTTCGCGAATTGTATTTTTTGTTTTACCTTCGTAAGGTCGAAAGCGTTTGGCTTTTTGTTTTTTCCTTAGAAAATGTTTAACCCCATCATTGTTAAATCGCGGTTATTGCAAAAACCATTTGCACTTACAAAGCGTTTTTTCTTTTTACAGTAATTAACAAATCATCATGTGTGACGAAGAAGTTGCCGCATTGGTCGTAGACAATGGATCCGGTATGTGCAAAGCGGGTTTCGCTGGGGACGACGCCCCTCGCGCGGTATTTCCATCGATTGTTGGACGTCCAAGACATCAAGGCGTTATGGTCGGTATGGGTCAAAAAGACTCGTACGTAGGCGACGAAGCTCAAAGCAAAAGAGGTATCCTGACATTGAAATATCCAATTGAGCATGGTATCGTCACAAACTGGGATGACATGGAAAAGATCTGGCACCACACCTTCTACAATGAACTTCGTGTAGCCCCCGAAGAGCACCCCGTTCTTTTGACCGAAGCTCCCTTAAATCCTAAAGCAAATAGGGAAAAAATGACTCAGATCATGTTTGAAACCTTCAACACGCCCGCCATGTATGTAGCCATCCAAGCTGTACTGTCACTCTACGCTTCCGGTCGTACCACTGGTATTGTTCTGGATTCTGGAGATGGTGTTTCTCACACTGTCCCAATCTATGAAGGTTACGCTCTTCCTCACGCCATTCTGCGATTGGACTTGGCTGGTCGTGACTTGACCGACTATTTGATGAAAATCTTGACCGAACGCGGCTACTCTTTCACCACAACGGCTGAAAGGGAAATCGTTCGTGACATCAAGGAGAAGCTTTGCTATGTAGCTTTGGACTTTGAACAAGAAATGGCAACCGCCGCTAGCTCCAGCTCCTTGGAAAAGAGCTACGAACTTCCCGACGGTCAAGTCATCACCATCGGTAACGAGAGATTCCGTTGCCCTGAAGCTCTTTTCCAGCCAAGCTTCTTGGGTATGGAAGCGTGTGGCATCCACGAAACTACCTACAACTCCATCATGAAGTGTGACGTCGACATCCGTAAGGACTTGTATGCCAACACTGTCCTTTCTGGAGGTACCACCATGTACCCTGGTATTGCCGATCGCATGCAGAAGGAAATCACCGCACTGGCCCCTTCGACAATGAAGATCAAGATTATCGCTCCTCCGGAAAGGAAATACTCAGTATGGATTGGCGGTTCCATCCTCGCTTCCCTGTCCACATTCCAACAGATGTGGATCTCGAAACAAGAATACGACGAATCTGGACCTTCCATTGTACACAGGAAATGCTTCTAAATTATTCCCATTCTTTTTATCGCCTGCATTCCATTATTCCATGCGTTCAAGTTTTTTTTTTGTATTATATTTGCGATATTGGGGCCGCCGTGCGGCCAGAACTGCCATGTTTTAAATGGGATCGAGTGTGACACCGTACATGCACTATAGGCCAAAGTATTACTATCGTAATTTTTTTTTCTAAGTTACTACATGTGCAGAATAAGACTTTTTATTATTACTTTTAGGCTAATAATATGAGGTAAAATAAAAAAAAATTGTAAAACTTTTATTTGTACTTTAATTTATTTCCACCTTTTTGTAATAAAAACGTTATATGAAGTTTATACTTTTGAGTTTTAAGAATTTCATTTACTAAGCACCTTTATCAAATAAGCGATAGATACAGATACAGTAAAGCTTTTTGCAACTGGTTGTAAAATACGCAGTTAAATTACAATTATGGCTCAAAAATGACACCCCAATATCTAGCCGTTATTCATTGGAACATGAAACTAGGAATGAGCAGTAACGAAGAGGCTACCTATTAGTTTGTAATAACCCATTATAAAACGAATTTCTATTTTTTAACAGGGCGTCGTTTTGTTTCTTTTACATCTTTTATACCTCTTAACTCAAAAATTGTGTGTCTACATAGAGATGTGTTTAAGATCCACATACCAAGTAAAACAAAATTGAAGTAAAGGAATAACTTTAGGTAATAAAGAACCTATTTGAAAAATACATCCCTCCACGTACTTTTTAATTTTATGTTAAATAGTTTCATTTACTACTTATCATCTTTTTGAAATAAGCGATGGATGCAGTAAAGCTTTTTGAGTCTGTCGTGAATATAAACAAACTTGGAAAAATGAAAGGAAGATTTGCGTAGAATACACAACAAACAAAATACAGATACATAAAAATAGAGGTCAAAGTTTTTCTTTTCACAAAACTTCTGGATTCCTCCTGCGTCGGTTTTTGCTGAGTCGAACTTGGTGACGTTTCGCCAATCATCCTGTTGGCTTCTTCAGAGCTTGACTGTTAAAGTTTTTGGTTGTTAAATTGAAAATTTATTTATTTACTATTAATTTTACGGACAGAGTTCATTTCTACATAAACCTTAGAAATGCACAGTTAAATTACAGGTTGATACGAAAGTAAAAGCCCAGGCTACAATCTCACGGCCAAAGGAGAGAAAAATAAATAACTAATGTAAGTTATATTATGTTTTGTTATGCTCGGTCCTAAACCTACCCTTAGTAGTGAAAAGGTCCGAATGCTCGTTCTCAGTCGAAATTGCTGATGTTTCGCCAATCATCCTGTTGGCTTCTTCAGAGCTTGACTGAAGCAATCAGCAAAAACTGACGCAGGAGGAATTCAGAAGTTTTGTAAAAAAATGAATGTACTATTTAGATGAGGTATTCGTATTAGTGCCAAAAACCCAACTTTTGACAGAATGGAGGGGCAAAAACAACTAATGAGTTTTCAAAATAATTTTTTGTCAGATCTCTTGAAATTTTGATCTTCACTAATCGAATATTCATTTTCAACTAAATCTCTTCCATTTGTATCGCGCACTGTCTTCCATTGTTTTTATCTCTAAAAAAAACGTCTATCGACGGTCTGTTTGCAGGTGGCAAGACATTCACAGATTTGCTATTTGATGGGCATTGCATCAACTATTTCAAAATTGTTGATCAAGTAGGTATGTGATATATGGAAAGTACTAAAACAAGAACTTATGCCTCGCTAGCCTGTAAAAAATGGAAGGAGAGACGCCACGGTGTGAAAAAAACGCTGAATTTCCAAACTGTATCGGGCCGCTTGCCATTGCAAACACATTCGTGTGATCAAACCAACCACTAGTTGGAGTATATTTAAATTATCTTGTTCCGTGTTAATTTATAAGAAAATTGCTGCGATTCGCAAATAATAAACTTAAATGACAAATCAAAACTAGAGTATTGATTTTTTCTGGAGTGGCAAGTAGCTTCCCGAACATGTAGTTGGAGGACGAATTAGTAGATGGCACTGAATCCGTTGTTTCCACCGCCAAAGAACGTGTTCTTTGGTTTAAATGTTCGAAACTTAACAGAATCTTTATCGCTTCTCGGCCTTTTGGCTAAGATCAAAGTGTAGTATCTGTTCTTATCAGCTTAATATCTGATACGCCCCGCATGCGGGGCCAGTATATTAAACTGATTTTTGGAAATTGATGGAGAATTAGGGGCTTGCTCCGCCTCCATCGCGGGTTGGCCCGGTATTGCAGTACCGCCGGGATCGGCCCATTTTAGGAAATTTAAACGTAATATTTTGCGATCGTTCTCAAAGCAGTAAACGATAGTGCTATTAGCAATTTAGGCGTCAACAATAAAGATATGGAGGCTTATAAAAAGCTGGTGGAAAGCCGTCCTGGCCTGTCACACTGGGTAAACCCCGAAGAAGTTGTACAAGCTCCGCCTCCATCGCGGGTTGGCCCGGTATTGCAGTACCGCCGGGATCGGCCCATTTTAGGAAATTTAAACGTAATATTTTGCGATCGTTCTCAAAGCAGTAAACGATAGTGCTATTAGCAATTTAGGCGTCAACAATAAAGATATGGAGGCTTATAAAAAGCTGGTGGAAAGCCGTCCTGGCCTGTCACACTGGGTAAACCCCGAAGAAGTTGTACAAGCAAGCAAGTCAAGAGCCTATTGAGGTCCGAGGTCCAAAGTATAAATTGACCAGAACATCAAACACAGCGCCGAGAAAGGACGGACTGAAAGTACTTCCAACCTAGACTCGATATGGGTTGCGCCACCTCTGCGGCCGTCTTTGGCATAATCTTCGACTGAGGAGCGTGCCGATGCCCTGTTGCTCCATAGAGGGGCCTTGCGATGACCCAGAGAACTGGCAACCAATTACCCTGACACGCCTTGCATGCGGAGACAATATATTGCAACTGATTTTTTAAAATTGATGGAGATTTGGAGAGTTGCTCCGTCTCTATCGCATATTGGCAATACCTCCTGAATCGGGCCATTTCAGAAAAATAAATACTAATATTCCACATTTTTTAATTAACGAAACCGAGGGCGTTTTGGTTACTTTTTTCCTGGGGCAAGTGAGGCAGCACTTCAGAACCGAAACAAAATTGCAGATTGAGTTGCATTTAAAAGCAAAATTACAAAACAAAGTAATGTTTCCCAGCGCTGCTTACTTCTCAATCCCCACTCCTATAAACTAGAAGTTATTCAATTGAATAAGAATTCTTTATCCTTGTGGTTAAACCTAGATTATGTTGACGACAAGTTACTAAACAAATTTCTACCTTAAAACAGCGCGTAATATTTAATGGCGTAACATATAGATGGCGACACGACTTTCATAAAAGCCAGTTCAAAATCAAAGACCCGATTATGCTAATTAATAGTGTTTCCTCGGTCTCTCCAACAATTTATTTACATGTGATTCACTTATCTAAGAATGTCTCTTCCTAATCTGGGGCGACGTCACTAATTTCACAAAAAGCGCTCGCGTGGTGGGAAAAAGAACTATATAATGGTTGCGATAATGAGTAATGCACTAATAATGAGTCAACATGCACAAAACTCAAATTGCTGTTTTCAGCAACCCCTTCCATCTAATTAACACTTATTTTAGCGTTAATGTACAATACAAAATTTTCAACGCTTCAATAAGCTCGAAAAATTCAACGAACAAATACAGCGGAAATACCGAAAACGAATTTTTTAAACGGCAACAAATTACGTTAGAACTAACGTTGAAAATCGCTACCTTGGCGCAAAATAATTAAAGAGAAATTCTTATGCAAAACTCTCCCGTTACCTACTGGTTCGGAATGAAATTGAGCAATAAAATAGCTACGTTTTAACGCGTGTAGGTATATATGCCATAATAAAACGACAAATATACCGTTTGTCAATAAAGGTAGCACGATTTTATCTCGCAGTGTGCCGCTAATATGTGGTTCTACGTTGATAAAATTTGTTTTGATACCTTTTGGATGATAACTGAAAACGTTGACGGGATGTCTTAGAAGACGCAACTAACATCAAGTGTTTTCTATTGTAATAAAAAACGAATTATTGTTACACCGGACGCCCGACTGTGGACGACGACTGTTACACCCATTTACGCGCGAAATTGTTGTTTAAGTGAGTATACTTTGAATGTTGACCTGACGTATTCATTTAGTGTAAATTCCATTAAAAATACGCACTTAATCATCGTTCATCGTATAGGTATAATATTTGCGTTAGAAAACGTGTAAGTAAATTAGAAAAATGTGTCCCACCTATTAGATTTCTTTAATTAAGTTCAATTGTACGTAGCAGAAAACTTGGATAGATAGATAGTAGATAATATGCATTCATTTTTGCAAATGTGGAAAGAAAAAATAGGATGAAAACTTTTTTGTTACGGTAAAAACCGTCACTACACTTTAAATATAAAATAGCTTCAGTTGTAGTGAATATTATAAATATATAATATATATATAATGATTCTCAACTTACAACTTAAGGATGAGAATTGGTAGTAAATGTAATAACAATAAAAGTCTTTTTAATAAAAATGTGTGAGAAAAATTAACAAGGATAAATTTGTTACGTTGTAATATATTCCATAAATCAGTCATGCATATATATGCCTACTAGGCAACACCCAATGGGGTGACCTGGGAACAGTTTATGCAATTTTCCAACAAGAATATGTGAGTAGGTGGTTGAACACCTAAGATTTAAAAGGATGCATTTCCTCAGTTTTCATTTTTTCTTTTTTGAAAATTGCGATGACATTCGCCATATTTTCTTTAACATTTTCTCGAAATAGAAAATTAATTCAATAAAATCTCAAGCAACATTACAGCTCCTCATAAAATAAAGATATACTATTTGCATTCTTTTTAAGTATGAAATCCGCTCTAGATCTTATTGTGCTTTTTTTCGCAGACTCGTTTAGAATGAGTGGCGATTCAAAGCCTACGATAGTCATAGATTTAGGTTCAGCAGAAACTAAAGCAGGCTTTGCCGAAGAGGAATTGCCAACATACACCCTGCCATCAGTGGTAAGTCAAGATAAAGAAAATAAAGTGACTTTACTGGGAAGTAACGCTTTGGGTCAAACAAATATTACCTATCCCATCGAACATGGGCAAGTCAAGGATTGGGAAGCAATAGAACAAATTTTCGGAGATGTATTCCGCGGACTCGACGTGGTCTGTCAAGACCATCCTCTACTTTTAACGCAACCTGCAAACAACCCTAAAAGAGATAAGGAAAAACTCGCGGAAATTTTGTTTGAAGTTTTCGACGTATCGGCCCTCTACGAGGAAATGCAAGCCGTGCTGTCGTTATATTCTTCTGGAAGACATGCAGGTAATCACTATACAAATTTATATAAACATCTGTACTAACAATAATATCATAAATAGTCTTTTTCTTATTAATATCACTGGTGTCTCCGAATAAACCTGGTTTAAGAACCATTAAACACTTATGTGTATGGTATATATAAATGGCGGCCTCTGGGAGCCCCAATGGAATTAATAATTTCAATATAACGATGTCTCAATTAGCCTGTTACTACAATAAACTAATATAATAAAATTTTATCAAGAATGCAATAGTGTTTATGACAAAATTTTAACACCCTGTATTTTTAAATGAACTTTTTAATATTTATTAAAATATTAATACATTAATTAAAATATATTTTGTAGATTAAGCGTTTTTCAGAGCGTTTTATTAAATTTATTTTCTGATAATCACAAACAAACAAATGTTAATGATGACTTGCAGTATGAAATTTAGTCTTCGCAAACAAAACAACAATTACAAAATAGGATTGATAGTGGTAGTATGCTAATTGCTTTGGGTTAAACATTTCTAAGTTTTACCTTTAAAATATTCCTTACAGTCATCACAACTAGTACTATATTTTTTTCGCCAGCAGTTATCCAGCAATTTCATAAAATTCCAGGTTTGATAGTTGAGAGTGGGCACGGTGTTACAAGCGTTGTACCAATTCTAAGTGGTTATGCGATTTCCAAAGCAATTTTAAGGTTGGACATTGGAGGAGGAGAATTAGACAAATACTTAGTGCAACTATTAAACAATCGAGGGTATAATGTGCCCCTGGAAGTAGCTAGAGATATTAAGGAAAAATGTTGTTATTCCGATGAGGGTACGTCTTATCCAGATACTGAGAGTTACAAGTTACCTGACGGGCAAGTTATTCATTTAGGTATAACATCGCAAAGGTAATGGATTATATAAATTATCATTAAAAATTTCAGGTCAAGAAAGAACTCAATGTCCGCAAGCACTTTTTGATCCAACATTAGTTGAACAATATGAGAGTCAAGGCATTCATGAAATGGTATACAGGTCCATAATGAATTGTGATATTGATTTACGCCGAGATTTTGCCAACAATATTGTCCTCTCTGGAGGAACAACTCTTTTGAAAGATTTTGAACATCGACTTAAGACTGAATTGGACACTAGAGTATCACTCAGTATGAGAATATCTATAATGGCAGATAAAGATAGGAAATATTATGTGTGGAGGGGGGGTTCGATATTAGGATCATTGTCAACATTTAGAAATGTGTGTGTTTCAAAAAAAGAGTATGATGAGTATGGAATAAGCACTGTGGCAAAGAAATTTATGAATGGGTTATCATAACTTAAATTGGACAAAATGGATATGTATTACTATAAAACAATAAAAGAAGGATATATTATTGTCTATTTTTATTATTTTTTATATCCAAATAATTAAAAACAAAACCTTGGCAGAAATTAGCTCTATTCATTGGTTAGTTTATCAATAATCTGATTTAAAGCCTTTGCAGTTGGAGAATCTGAAAATTCATTAATGCAAGCTTTACCTAGAAGCTGTCCAATCCTTGGGTCTATTGGTAATGAACCCAGTAAGGGAATTTTAACCATCTCAGCTAGGGCTTCACCACCTCCTTTACTGAATATATTGGTACATTCTGTACAATTGGGGCAAACAAACCTTAAAAAGGAATTTACAAGCAAAGAATTTGGAAAACTAACAAATAAATGAGGCAACACCCACCCACTCATATTTTCAATCAATCCCAAAATTGGAATGCCAGTTTTTCTACAGAAAGTGATTTCTTTTCGAACATCTTCTATAGACATTTGCTGAGGAGTTGTCACAATCACAGCACCATCACATTTAAGAGACTTTAAATTCTCCATAACGGCAATATGTTCATCTGACGTTCCTGGGGGAGTGTCAATTATTAAATAATCCAAATCACCCCAGCATACATCTTCTAAAAACTGCTTAACCATGGCAGTCTTTTTTGGGCCACGCCACACAACAGCACTATTTCTATTATTTAACAAAAATCCTATTGACATAACAGCTAACTGCTGTCTGTCATCTATATAAACTGGAATCCAGCTAAAAATCAGAGTAAGCAGCTGTTTAAAGCAAGCAAAAAAATATTACCCTCCATCAGATTGGTGAACATCTTTTCCTTCCAGTTGCAATAAATAAGGAATGCTAGGACCGCACAAGTCGATATCTAAAAGGCCAACCTGTAAATAACCTCGACTTCAAAACGAAATTAAAATGACTAGATCTACCTTAAATTTTTCAGACAAAGTTAATGCAAGTTGTGTGCTAACTGTCGATTTTCCTACACCCCCTTTCCCCGAAAGGACCAGGATTATATGTTTTATATTTGAAGACATTATTAAAATCTATATTATTGACTTTTATGTAAAAGAAAGTACAAAAATAAATATTTAAGCGCTAAGGTAACCTCCAAGCTCTTCTTCGTTCCGCCAGTGTAACATGTCCCGAATTCTTTATGAACTGCAAGCTAGGTATAAAAAATAGAACGACAAAAACAATGCTACCGTACCGAGGCTTGGAAAACAATTTTCAGATAGAAATACCCCGTCGATAAAAGGAATTCCTGTAATACCGGTTAAAGAAGCGCGGATCAATTTGAAAACATAGTTATATATTGTTATTATTATAGATTCAGTCTAAATTGAATTGAAATGAAAATTTAAAATTTACCAATTAGATTTAAAACTTTAATTATATTCTATTTAAACAATTTATATTTGGAAGTGTTAAAAATTAGTAAATTATGTTTTATTACACGTTGCTAAATAAGATAAATAAATTTAGAAACATTTTTAAGCGATCTAATAACATGAAAATAATGATTCACATAAGATAATAAAACTTTAGAGTTTATTAGCCAAATATATTATAATGATTACAAATGGGAAGATGCAAAATAAAAAAGTGCAAAACACGCATCGTAGTAATAAATAATGGTAATAATAGTATTTTATGATAGTTAACTTTTGTATTGTAATTAGTAAATTATGCAACAAGTGCGGTAAACAGCATTTTACTTACGAGTTTATTTGACACGGGCGGAGCGAGTGTTTAATAAACGAGTGATTGAAAAAGTTTACCGAACGTGTTGCATACTATATTTTTTCTGCGACCGATAGTTTTTGGGTACATGTTCGCAAAACAATACGAATACATTCGCTGACATGACCGTCAGAATTAAAAACGTCACAATTCAAATCGTTGGAAATATCTCCGAAAACATTAGATTGCTCGCAAACCCGTGCGGTAAAATTCTGGAAATGTCCGAAGTGACTCAGATCCGTGAGAAACGAAACTGACGTGGAAGTGACTCTTCCCGCACACTAGATCGGTGTGTAATTAGGCATTTTACAGACGGGAGTAGAAAAAATATGTTACAATAGTTATAGCGACAAAAATATATAACCAACTTCGAATACTAAGAAAAGAAAATATGAATTTTATACAAACTAAATAAGCAAAAAAAAAACTTAGAGTAAAATGGTAACAAATTCTAAAGTATATAAAAAAATAATAATAATGGCTTACATGATTTAAAACAAAAGATTTTAATTTAGAAAACTGGAAACATTTCCTTGAACGTCATATATTATTTCTTCAGTTTCTGTGCTTAAGTGACACTGGGACAATTATCAATATAATTAATTTTCTCAAGAAAATTACAATTTACTTCATCTATCAAAAAATTTGGGGTATGAATATTTGGACAATGACAGAATTACTATTTCAGTGTCAGTTTGTTGATATGAATGGGAAACGCACCCACTCTCAATTTACATAGACCAGAATGAAAACAGATATCTTTGGGAGAACAATGATCTGTATGTCCCTTCTGAAGTGATCAGAGAAAAACATTTATTAAAACACACTGTAAATTTGCAAGAATAATCTAAGTTCGCCAAACTCTTTTTAAAAAGTTAAAATTACTTCAGTTATTTCTCTTGCGTTGTGGAAAGTCTGGACAGCGACTATCTAAAACTAGCATCTAACACCACCATATCTGGTACCGACAGCAAGATTTCTAGAGGTTCATATTTATGGAAACCATCCTTCAACCATCCCCAAGCAATTAAGTCACGAAACTAGTCGCTTTACATTTAAGTCTGCAGCGAATGCAAATCTAGAATGGCTCTAATCAAAATCAACCTCCTATTCTTTTAACGCTGACTCTCTCTCTCTCTCTCTTTCTCTCCTTTACTTCTATTGGCCAAGACTGCTAAGATCACTCGTCCACTTACAATAGTTCATGACTTTCTTTATACACATGGGAGGTGCCTTAATTAAAAGGGACTGGACGGATCCATCACCCTCCGTGGGGAACGGAAACAACAATTAAGAACATTATTCAAAAATCTTTGACGGATAGCAAAAAACTTCCTCCCACATTTCCCCCGTGGACCATCTGAGCCTATCCGGCCACCAACCGGCGTGTTCAGTGTATGTTTTAAAGTTACAATCGTCGTCGGTCCCGTCGTTTTTCCCTGTTCACGCCGGTATGGAGGTCGGATGGGCCCGGATAGTCCTAGGTGGAAGCGGGGGGAAGCCGATTTTTTGGTATCGGCCAAAATCGTTTTTTGGGAGCTGAGCAAACATTGGTAATATTTCTTCTTTGTACGTGTTGGTTACTGACCAAAAGCGAAAATCCTCTACGAAAGTCGGCAATGGGCAAATGATCCTGGCGGTATAGCCTAACAGTTATTGTGAAAATAATTTATCATCTATGATCTTAACCTCTTTTTGCTATAGCCATAATGCCATAACGATAAAACAAGAATTTGTGAGCTCCCTATGCAATGTACAGTTGTAAATCTAAAGTTAAGAGAAATGCAAAGGCAAACAAATAACGTATGGTTAAAATGTATAAACTCTAAACTCTAAACCATTGATCCAGACTGATGTGTTGTCATGGGGAAAGAATACAAACAGAAGCAAAGTAAGTACTTACAGAACCTGAGTTAAAAATGGTATGCGTTTTATCGGAATAAGTTTTTGTATTCAATAAGTTAAAGTTTTGTTTGTTTTAGATTTTAAGCAGAACCAAACCAGCTATACCATCAGGGAGTGATGTATTGAAACATGTTAAAAGTCCAGGAACAAAGAATGATGTGGCAAAATTTGAAGACTTTCTGAAGAGAAGAGATTATACTGGCGCTATTACATTGCTTGAAGTAAGTTAATATTTTTAGAAAAGAGTTATACAGATGTTTTTGCAGTTTAATAAATTGTTGGAACAAGATGATAATGCTCATCTTTGGATTGCGTATTGTTATTTTCATTGTGGAGATTATAAGAATGCATTGCAAACATATGAAAGATTGTCCAAAAAGGAGTCAAAAACAAAAAGTTTGTTTGTCAATATTGGTTGCTGTTACTTTTATCTGGGTAGGTTATTTTTTGGAACATTTTAAATTGCTACAATACATTTATCTGGTTTAGGAATGTATCAAGAAGCTCAGGACATACTGCAAAAAGCACCTTCTTCTGATTTGAAAGTTAGGTTAAATTTTCATATATCTCACAAACTAAAGGATGAAGCCACATTAATGGAGTATCACCAACAATTACAAGATATTTTGGAGGACCAGTTAAGTCTGGCTGCAATACATTACCTAAGGTCACATTATCAGGAAGCAATTGATATTTATAAGAGATTGTTGCTTCAGAACAGGTATTTATACTTAATTTTAATTTGTATGTGTCTTTAAATGGTGTTTAAGGGATTATATTGCTTTAAATGTTTATGTGGCCCTGTGCTATTATAAATTGGATTATTATGATGTGTCCCAGGAGGTCTTGGGTTTGTACTTGACCAAATATCCAGATTCGGTGATTGCTACTAACTTAAAAGTAATTGCTTTGCTTAGTTTTGATATTTGGAATTAATTAAAGAAATGTATTAGGCATGTAACACCTTCCGCTTATATAATGGAACTGCTGCAGAGAATGAGTTAAGAACCATCTTTGATCAAACTGCAAATGTGGGGTTTGGATATGATTTAGTAAAACACAATTTGGTGGTATTTCGAGATGGAGAAGATGCTATGCAGGTAGTCTAAAGTTATTTAATTGGGTTGGGTTGTATTTAACTTTTAGGTTTTCCCTGCACTTGTTGATGTGGTACCAGAAGCACGTCTAAATTTAGTAATCCAGTACTTAAGAAATGATGATATTAAAGAGGCTTATAAGTTGTTGAAGGATTTGCAGCCAGCTGTACCACAGGAATATATCCTCAAAGGTGTCGTTAATGCTGCACTGGGCCAAGAAATTAATTCTGTAGGAGTTTTGTTTAATTAAATTTCATTTTGAAATGTGACAATTCCATTTTAGACTGAGCATATTAAAGCTGCAGAAGAATGTTTTCAGTTGGTAGGAAGTTCCACAAGCGAGTGTGACACTATACATGGCAGGCAATGTATGGCAGCTGCTTATTTTTTGTCTGGACAGTTTGAGGAAGTTTTAGTATACTTGACGTCTATAAAGAGTTACTTACATTCAGGTAAGCTCTAGACTAAATCTATTCATTGAAATTACTCCTCACATATGTGCGGCTTATTTATTTGATGTTTTTGTAGATGATACATTTAATTTCAACTTTGGTCAGGCCAAAACGGCATGCAACCAATATAGAGAGGCTGAAGAATGTTTTCTATTAATTCAGGATCCTAAAATCAAGAGTGATTATATTTACATTTCTAATTTGGCACGATGTTATGTGGCAAATAAAAAGCCTCAGGACGCGTGGGAGCTTTACTTGAAGATGGACACTAGTCCCGAGAGCTTTAACCTATTGCTGCAGGTAGCAAATGATTGCTATAAAATGGGTGAATTTTGGTATGCAGCCAAGGCTTTTGATATGCTAGACAGGTTGGATCCAAATCCAGAGTTTTGGGAAGGAAAAAGGGGTGCCATTGTTGGTGTTTTTCAGGTACATTTTGTTGTATTTGTCTATTTGGTTTTCCAAAGATAGGTTTATTTAAGTCAATCTTTGGAACTATACATATGCAGGTTTTACAGAACATTTAGAGGCAGATTCTGTATCTATATCTATCTGTATATCTATATCTATATTGAACTGCATTTTGGTAGCGCTATAGGTCAAAATTATTTTGTTAAGCAATGATAAGAGCAATAAAATAATTATTGCGGTGCTTCAGATTAAATAAAAATCGCATTTTGCTTTAATTTTGTAAAATGGAGGATCAGTCTCATATTTTTGAAATTAGGGTAATATACATTAGAAATAAATGCTTTTTAAATTAAAAGCAATAATTTACATTATATTTTAATATGTTTCTTCCGTGAATATAATTCAGTACAATAAATTGCGCTTTTAGGGTGTGGTAGCAAAAAAGCTTCCTGTTGATATGTTGAGCGACATTTTGCAACTCCTAAGAAGTACCACGTCAAGTCAGGCTGATCAGATCGCGAAAATTGTTAGGAAATGGGCGAAAGATCAAAAACTTACTATCAGTTAAGCAAATTGTTTTTTGTGTAGTATGGTTATAAAATACAATTAATGTTTTTTCTTCAAAGAATTAATTTCTTTGTTCCTATTCTCAAAAACCAGATTAGATATGTGAGTGCGTTAAATGTTTCCCAAAATTTCGTTATCACAAACACCTTTATTAGTAATTGAATTGTCATTCGATACTCGGAATCCATTGATAACGAGCGTTACTTAGATTAGAGCGTGTGTTTGCACACCTTCGAAGCTGATTTTGCGCGTCATATGCATTTTTATTTGTTCATATGGAAACAACACGGCTTTACAGAGGAGGAAAAATAAAACGAAAAGTTCTCAAAATAATAAATAATTTAATATTTGCTAAAAGAAATAAATACATTATCTAAACAGGCATTTGGGATGCTCACTTTTTTTTGCCCTCGCATGTTGGGTACACTTAACTAAATATAAATAGACATTCAAGATTACAATTGTTTAAATATTGATGTAATTCCGTTCGTCAACATCATCGTATACGTAAAAAATAAATAAGAATCTTATACATACACAGGATCGGTACCTTTATAAAAAAAAAATCAGACTAGAGTGTCATTTTCATTTTATAATAGAAAATATTTAAAACATTTAGTGAAACAATTTTATTGCTGACAATTTCTCTATATTGAATTTGGTTCACACAGTTCAATTCCACACATTTATTCAGAAAGGCAAATTGTCATATGGTAGGACCCTACCTGGAATACTGGATCACCCACCCAACAGGGACTTTATTTCAGGAAGGTAAAGTCAATTGATATTTTACTGTTAGCAAACCTCCACAACCCATGACTACAATTTTGTCACAGTTTTAGAATATTTTGTTGAAAACAATTTTTTTAAAAAACAAAATTCAAAAAAGTGAAAACAAATGCAAATTTTAACTGAGTTGCATTAATATTAAACCGTGGGATCAGCAGAAAAAAAAACTGAAATGAATTGTTTCTTATTTGAAAGAAATGATGGGTGGTTCATTATCCATTTAACATTTATTAAAAGAATCGCTTATGAAATAGGGCGCTAGACATGTTATGCTTTCTGAAAAGATACATATATTAATAGCTTGTTTATAAGAGATGATTGTTTATCAATGGCGAAAGAGCAGATAATACAAGCGATTTCTTAATTTTAAAATTTGTCTTTATCACATCAAAATCCTACTTAAGTTTGTTATAATTAGGGCGTTTGATCTAGCTGTCCGAAATAAAATACATCCACTCTAAACAATAGACAGATTGGTGTATTATGATTACAATAGATGGTAGGTGGCCCCACATCAACCGAACAATCTGTGTTCTGGCATCTAAAGATGGATGTGGTAGATGATTTTGATTGGACGGTGCATCGCAGGCCGCCATATCATTTAGTTGCGTTTAGATTTGGTTGATCCGAGGACGTAGTGACTTAAAGGTAGCAATAACTATTTCTCGTCAGCAATTTGCGTTCTTAAATTAAGTTACAAAAATACGCACTTTAAAGGAAATAGTTTTCCAGCCAATATGGCTTACACTGCGTTCGCTTAGGTTGGAAATAAATTATGTGTGAATCAAACGTTTTCCAGAACGGTCCATTTTTTTTTAATTTATTTATTTAACTTATAACGCCAATTTTCTGACGGTACGGGAGAAATTTATGAAACAAAAGTTAAGGCACTGTCCAACAAAATTTTGTATTATTTTCTATAAAACGAAACTTTATAAGGAAATACATATAACTCTAGATGGAGTGTTGCCTATGCTAATAATACAGGACTTTTAAAGTCAGCAAATTGGGTCATTCAATATGCACAGGTCATTTCCAATTTCGTTTTCAACCAATAAGAACCGAGTTTTTAAACGAACCAATAAGATCTTGCTACGCTTTACAATCAACTTGGCAGCTGATGGTTAATCACTTCGACAGTTTACCTCTCGGATGCGGCCACATTTTGCCCCATTAAAATTTCAGTAAAAAAACGAGTGAAATGTGTAAAGATCGCTGCTTAGAAAGTATGCGGCTGAAAGCGCAGGTTAGTGTGTAAAATTTAGGCAATGCGCGGAAAAGTATTCCCTTCTTTAGGAAAGTGTGGGAGCAAAAAACAATGTGTCTGAGGGGAAATGATAACTTTAAGGTCCGTTTGTTATTATGTCTAAAATAAATAGATCTCGCTCGAATTCACTTAAGAAAATACTTCAAAATGTTATTGCAAATGGGTTTTAATTTCCAAAGTAATTCAAGTTTCGCCTAGTCTCAAAATAATGTCAAAATTTTCGGTTCTGGATGTTACCTGATTTATTTGACGATTGTTTTTTTAACAGCTTTAGTTTTTGACCCATCTCGACGTCAACATTGCCGATAAAAATCTATATAATCGAATAAATATCAACAAAAGAAAAATAAATAAATATTAACATAAATAATTACCTACATTTCCCGGTTGGGGCTGCCATCCATTTGATTCACAAATAATTGTTCGCACACTAACTTTAATCGATATACATAAACACACTGATAATTTGTTATCCTACCTAAAAAACCTAATCGTTTGTGTCCTTTTATCCGCACATCCGATTCGAACTAGAATACTTTAATGGTGTTCCCTGATTCGCCGGTATGTAAAGGTACCGACTACCCAGTCTCTTCATGCCCCTACATTAGATGGAGTGTGGATACTCTGACAAATATGTTATTAACGAAGTGGGCAGCTCTAGTTGAGTGTGGGGCGCGGGTAACTTGGGTATCCTAGGTCTGCCCGTCGATTGGATTGTTTTGTGTATGGATAACCTGGCCAGGTGTTTTAAACTAGAGGGTTCGTCCCGTTTCCTTAGAGGCCTGTCCAGGTGGATTGATGAGTACCATTTACCATGAGCGTCTACCCACACCTGCATGTTATCTGGAACAATGGAATGTACTCATACAGTCTGAGTCTTGCATTCAAATCAACAGAGGAGATAAATCTAAACAAACATTCGATAGATTAACTTCTCCCCCTAGAAACCATATTCTCAAAATGCGCCAAAACCAAAATGTTATTTTCATGTTGGTAGTGGTACCATGCCAGGATATATCGGAATTCTCCTGCCTGTGTCCAAGCTAGGGATATAGAAGCATTAGCATGTCAGAAGTTGTAAGAGCTACTAAGGACTCAGTTAAATTAATGCAACTGAAAAGGATCTCTGTTTTTATTGGTTCCTCGGGTTTTAAGAAATGAGAAAAAAAACTGCATACCTTTAACGACCCGAACTTGTCGGACGTAATGCTGTATTAAATCTATAACGCTCGGAAAGACCGGCATGACAGCTTGGAGATGAGTTTGCGCGTCGAGCCGGAAGTAACCGTTGATGTAGTGCAGTCTCACTGAAGTCGGCCCGCGTTCTGTCTGCACGCTCAACGAAAACAAGAATCTGGGATCCGAGGAGTTCCTTATTAAGAATGTACCGACCTAAACGATGGAAAAACAACCGCCATCAACTCCCACGTTTTGAATATAACAGAAAAATGGACGCTGGTATCTCAAGTGTTATTGTGTTGGGACTGCTCAATTGTCCCGTTCTTAATTGACCGGTCAACTGACTACTTTTGAATTGACTAATCAAAAAATATTTTAAATAACAGCTTGCAATCGTAAATAGTTATCTATTATTATTTAATAATATGTATTTTATAATAAATTATTATGCATTTGTGATGTCCAATTTACGAAATATCCGAATACGACACTTCGCGATTCAGGGAATTTCAATAACAATATCGACTCCATTTGGGTCCCAGAACGACGCGATGGTGATGTAACGCACAATATAAATAAATAAATATAAATTTCCTGGTATTTTAAAAATTATTTCGGTCAATTGACCAGTCAATGGACGGGTCAATACACAAAGATTCACACAATTCCACAACCCTAAGTGTTATTTCCAACAATTTAATACGATGCTGTCGTTTCGGTACTAGCTTTGAGTTATAATGTGTAAAAGATGGTACTAATCTACCTACACACATATATACACATATATATGAACTTCATTCGAACCTGGGTGTATTTTAGAAATTCATGCGACTCCTGAAAAGTGATGCCTTCGTAATACCAGCCGGACTGGCGAAGAGCCCGAACGGTATCGGCAAGGTGCTGCAGTTCTGTTTCGGGCTTGGCTTCTAGGACCGGCAGAGGCTGTAACGGTGCTAATGGAGGCAACACGAAACTCAACGGGGTGCTTGGAGACACCTGAAAACGTTCCGGTATCAATCGGAGTTTCGATATTAGTTATTGAACAATCAGGCTATTTGAATCAAAATGCACTTTTTAAGTAAAAAATTGAAAAGTACGCATTTTCCATTCGCCAAATGTAGTTTTGTCATATATTTACAATAAGTGGATAAATGCCCAACGTAGAAAAAACCAAGAAAGAAGAAGAATGCTTCTGTCACAGGCTACTATGTGATTCTGTGATCATGCGCTGGGATTTTTGACATTTGAGTTTGTTGGCGGAGGAAAATTCAAATGCAGTGTCACATTTAATAACATTTAAGGTATATAAGTAATTTCAGTTAATTCTTTTAAATATTTAGTAAGATTTTTCTGTTTTTGTATTGTAATAATATATTGGTGACATTAGGTCCCTTTATACTAAGAAAAATTAAACAGGGAGGAGACACATAAGGGAATTAACAAAAACGGATTGGGGGTTTAGTTAAATCACTAAAATACAATTTAAAAATTCTTGTTAGTTCAAAAAACTGGCAACGTTATTTTTTATTTTGCTACAATTCTTCAACCAGGAGATAGTTTGTTTACGTTGTGGTTTAGTCTTTTTGTCAATGACTTGTGTTCGTAGATGGTTTGGTTTTTTCCTTCAACTTGATTTTACAATTTTGGCGTGCGTTTGAAACTAGAAAAAACCATGTTTGCCGAATTACAGTGTTGTGAGAATGCATCGGCGTCACGCTTACCTGGGGCGATGGGCCAGGGCTTGTAGGAGGAGCGAGGGCGGCGACGAGCCCGCCTCCGCTCAACACGTGGAGCGAGCGTCGGGAACCCCCGGAGCATTGTTGCGCGCCGCCTGTGGACGCCGGACAGCACGCGAATTCGTGCTTGCATTTCGGGCATACTGTGCTACAGCCTAACATTGCAGGCGAATGCCATGCCCAATTTGGAAGCTCAGTCTGAAACAAAAAGGTAACAACGTTATAGTACAATGGATATGCGGTCCTAATATTTAAAAATATTCTCGTGCAGTTATAGCCCAGTGACGCCTCGCTGGGGCAAAAGGACTTGTGTTGAATTAATTATCGAACAAAATTCATTAAAATCAATACTAAAGTAGTACGAATTAGTGCAACGTAAGTACTAAATAAAATAGCTAGAATCGGTCTTGCGTTTTTAAATGTGCTGTAAATATAAACGAGTGAGTGTCAGCTTGAATGGAATATCTTAAAGAAATGAATGCTACAAAAATTAAAACTAGTTTCTAGCCGGTCACCAGACTAATAGAAAACATCCATTATCATAAATAGATAGAAGCCCCAAAACGTCCACAGTTACATATTCATAGTAAGAAAAATGAACAAGCAATTTGATCAGTCACATGAGAAATAAAAAAAAAGCGACTTAAAATTTCCAGACCGGGTTTTACGAAACCAAGAAGTCTATTTTGCTACCCCAAATTGTCCACGGGAACTACAAACTCCCATTTCCTTTTGTTTTGGAATTGACGCGAATTTTATTTGTCGAAGCTGTGAGCAGACTGTTGTAGATCGTCACTTCCATAAGAATTATGGACGCCACTCGATAGACAGCGTCTGTAATAACGCCTACGTACGCCATTTTGATGCTTCACGAAGCATCCGATCGCAGATTGGATTATAGCGCTGGTTCTCTGAAATTGACGCGAAGTAACGAGAAAATTCTCTATAGAAATTCTCGCGGCCTCTGGTTCATACCATCAGACGTAATTGCTACGGCAGAAAAAACAAAGGACTGGAAGGATGACTTGCATAAAAATTTTATCGTCCCTATATAATTTAAAGCACGCAGGATGAGGTATTGGCTGTTGCAAGATGGAGAATTTATTTCGTTATTGCAACACGTTTTTAATTTGTTGGGTATTTATTTGATTTTCTGTAGCCAGTGGCATCGACATTTACTTATTTATAAGTCCGCCATTGCTGTTGCAGTGTAAAGCCAATATAAATAAGTAAGTAAACAGAAGAACTTTGCAAAAAGAAGGTAGACGGTTCCTTGGACTCTTACGCAGTTAATAAGGTACATATAAGCACAGAATTGCAAGCTTATTGTGTGAGATAGTAAGTTCAGCTCAGCGTTCTTATTAGAATTAAATTTAAATTGTTTGACAGTAATTTCCGATGAGAAAAGGGGGGGTAATTTTTAACATCGGTTTTGTAAATAGATACTACATAACTTTTATTTTCTCGAAGTGTGTACGATTCCTTTTTCAATCGACGATACGTTTTGCACATTTTGATACGTTACACATTACTAAGTCACGTTCCTCGGAAGCCGATATAAAATCCATTTAAGAATAACGATCACATTTACTGGGAACGTTATTAGCGTTATTTATACAATTTTCACCTCGAAAGTTGCAAATAAGCGCGTGCAATTTATACCTTGCAGAAACGTTTCTAGGATTCGGCGGTTATTAAAAATATAATACGGAATTCAATTAACTCTGGGGAAATTTAATATAAACGTTCGAAAATTCCCTAAACGTTCCGGGAATTTTTCGAAAACGTTACCGGTAACTGTTTAACAAATAAAGGACGCCGAAGTATTATCGATGTCACCCTTATCAGACGAATTTATTTAATACCCAAAAACAACTGCACAATGGTGAAATCAAAACTCGTAAATTATCACCGTTTCCGGGTATTACTTTCGCTGTACGTCCTCATCGATCTATTTAGGACGGTGACAGTATGATAATTGATTGTAAACGATATTCGACTTTATAATTTGTTACTAACATATTCGGGATTTGCAATGCCAAATTAGTTATCAAGGGCTGGCATATGGGTGTGTGGATAAGGCAAATAAATATAATTTTTAGCGTAGTTAGACCTAGATTAACCGATGCAGCAGCGACAAAGTACCACAAAGACCATGCAAATGGTGCGCATAAGGGAAATGAAAACAGTAAGATGGAATACCAAATAAATAGCCAATAAAAAGAAAATTCTGGAATAAACACTTAAATAGAATGAACGATGACAGATTTCCAAAAATGAAAAAGAAAATTATACCAGTCACAAAAAGATCCAGCGGAAACGCGTTCAGGAGGTGGATTGCTGGACACCCTCATCAGGAGAGACTTTACTACGCTAAACATATAAGATAGCCTACTATATAGGAAACCATACTATTTTAAGGAAGAAGTTGTAAAAAATGACCCTCCTCAATGAGTAATGAAAAATTAATCGCTCGCCATTACGATTGGGCATATTATATCAAGATGAGAGTCCTAGGACATTGGTAGCTAGTCGGTAGTGAGTGTAACTGACCGTTATACCTCGCAAAACATAACCACTTTTATCTACTCATCAAATGCAAAATTCCCTTCATCGAACAATGAAAACAAAAGTTCTGGATGAGTTTAAAACCAATCATCCCGTGAGGGCAAACGACCAAAACTAAGCAAAACTATCACGCCTCGAGCAAGCAAGAGGTGCGGGGTAAATATTATAGTGATGGGCCTAGTATTTAGAGGAATTAAATATAACAGTCTATTTGGTGTCACATACAGAAGGAAAAAGTTTGTGGCTTTGAAATGGAATGGGTCCGAGGACAGAGCCCTGTGTTACTCTCGAAGCATTATATTAATTTGTCTCGATAGCATTTAAAACATGCACACCCTAATTTTAATTTTTGCGATCTGGGAACCGGCGTCGACGATTGCCGAGAAATTCGCAACGTTATCCGCGCGCACACGTCCAATTCGGGGTAATAAGAAACACGTCACTATAGTTGGCCTTGATTGCAAACAAGAAATCTCTAGATTTCGAGAAAAAGCACAACCGGTCGTCAAATTGTGTTCCCGAAATCGACGATTTAAAATCCTTCCCTGAAATATTTTAATCATTCATCGGCGAACATGTCAAACGCGATCAAAGGAACGTACGTAAAAGCACTTCTGCGTTAGATTAGAATTGGAATTTCTTGAGACCCAAGACTGAATTGCTCTCAGAGGACACAACACTGCGCAGTTTAATGTAGATTTTATTACAGGGTTTTCAACAATTTGAAAAATGAACTCTCTTGCATTTCGAGGCAAACTTTGGACACTAAAATATGAAATAACAGTAAAGAGTGTCCCTAAATAGTTGTAAATTCGTCAGGTCTGAAATAATGTCTAAAATGATGGGAAACTGCATAGAATTTGTAACGCTTTTCCATTACAGTGGCGAAAGTTCTAAAAAAGTTAGCAATTTTGCAAAGATTGTATATTCAAATGAAAAGCATGTCTACTCATAAAATAATAAAAAAATGCTGACTTTTAGTGCAAAAATGAAAAACTCTGACTTTTACAGACTTGGGGAATGCTATCACTGTGCCAGCTGGCTGGGAAGAATAATGAAGTACGTATTAAAACCCCAGCACCTATATCCGATGAGTTTTGATCAGTATTGGATACCAAAGACACCTAGAACTCACCTGAATCAATGACATAACGGACAACCAAAAACAATAAAACTAATATCACAGAAAACAGATCACTTTTAAAAACAGGAACACTAAAAACAAAAGTCCAGCGAATTGTCGCTCCATGAAACGAATAACGCGTCGGTAGCCGATCGCATCACCAGCCAACGCGCGTACAAATCAACTCTACCGTCGCCGAGCACCGAGTGACTGACTGACTGGCGTCGTCACCAGCACCATGCTGATTTTGCTTTCGACTCTCGACGATCTTTTCCGAACGCCACGGAACGCAACTTTGAAATGAGAAAGTCGTGAAACGTTCCCCGATACTTAAAAGCCAGTTTATAATAAGAATTTCTCGGTATTTCGGTTTAGGTAAACGACTGGTCCTTCGGTCCCGACTCACTTCGGAGATGTTCGGCGTTGCCGCTGTTCTCGAAGCTTTCTCACGTGGCGTAATTTATGACCGAGGTAGTCGGTGAGTCTGGGTCTCTTTCGGGTCGGAAGTATACGTTACGGACGTTCTTTCACCTTTTGATTCGTGTGTGCACCTTCGCGAACGCAATCTATTACAGGCGGAAATATCAGCGGCACGCAAACTTTTAGCTTTAATTTAAACATTTTCGTATTAGTACTCGTGAGTACATTGGATTTTTCCGAGATCCATGGACGTTTTTTTCGTTAGTTTTCGAAAAATATTACAAATATAGTGCAGTGCTATTCAATGACATGCAAGTTAGTTTTGGTTAGTCAGGATGTACGAATGAAAACGCTGACGCCATAGCCTATTGCCAAAACAGCCATCAAAAGTTGCAGCCAGAACAAAACAGACATGTCGAGACAAAGACAAGCCAAAAAATTTATGTCACGAAAGGGACGCTGTGAGGATGATTCTATTGACTGGTCATTGCAGACTAAAAAGGCTTCTAAAGCCTAGTGAGGGTAAACGGATACGTTCGAATGATGCCGGTGTTAAACTATAGAATCTGATCCGAGAGAAGACCACAAATAAGGAACTATAATTTTGGAAGGAGTCACAACAGATCCTCAAATCCTTCAATGAACAACTCTATCCAGCTTAAACGTTTGCATTTTCATCGGTGCGATGCTGAATTTTTGTTATTTAACGCTAAAACTGAAAAATATTAACGAAGGTCCAGCGGTGGACGCTATGGCTGCTTTATTGATGATGATAATGAGTATTAAGATTCAATAACTATCTACCCATGCAGTTAATAAATCATTTGAAAAAGTTTAACGGGTCTATTGTTCCCTGATATACCGACTGGTCTCGGACATCTAAATGCCATTAGATAGGGAAGTCATAGAGCTTTTTCAAAATCTTGAATAAAATTATTAATCATCATAATCTAAATTAATAATTGATGTCTCCAGTATTTTGTGTCATTCTACTAAGTATTGTTGTTGCCTTCCTTTGCATGTCCGAAGGAAGAGCACAAGGGACACTCTAAGCTCCGAGTCATCGCGTTACCTTCCTCTTTCCTTACTTTTCCTAAGTACTTCGTGGCGCTTCATGGCACTCTTGTGCCGCGATGAATTATTTACAAAATGGTCTTTTTTAATCTGTTCATATTTGATCGTATTACCGTTGATTAGGTTATTGGATTTTGTATTAATTAAATTAAAGGAAAAACCTTTGTCCTTAAATTTCGCTTATTTGTTAACAAAAAAAAAATATTTTTCTGGATTCTTGTGTGGCATTGTCTAGCGATTTTTGCGGATCGAATGACTTAAAAAAATCTAAATATGCGGCAACGCAGCATTGGGAAATTTTTCGAAGAAGCCATTACACCGATTAAGCCGAAATAGATGTGAATACGCACGCGGTTCGTTTCTGGAAGCAAAATTTCGATGCGCCGCTTCATTAACCGGCATGTTTCTGGAGAATTAATTATTTTTCGTGATTATCATCAATTTATTCAGTAAAACGATAAGATAAATTTTGCAGTGTTGACATATATATATATATATATATATATATATATATATATATATATATATATATATATATATATATATATATATATATATATATATATATATATATATATGTAAAATTTGTTACATTTCTTAATATAGCACAGAATATCTTGAACACCCTGTACAATAGGTGAAAACCTTAAATACAGCTTTAGATGTCCCTACGGGCTATATAACCATGTAAACGGATCTGACAATTGAAAAACAGTCTTTTAATTTTGCTCAATTACCATTATAAGGGGACCCCAACATTCAGTTTTTTGCAAATACCAGGCAGGTTTATAGCACTTGATCTGGTGGTTCTTTCGTACAATATTTTTTTCGATTACATAAACATTTTTGGCGAACTAATTTTTTTCTTGAACCCTAGCAAACGCAATTTTCAATTTTTTTAAAATAATTCCCGACCCCCCAGCGCCCCATTTTCAATAGGTTCAATATGAAGCCGATGCTTTAAATTTCGTACACGTGGTTTCATAGCAATGTCCAAAAAACCAGTCGAACATCGAAAAAAAATGGCCACCGTAGTACGAACGCGACTATTTTTACATATATTGTGCATTCCGTAGACTGTTAAAAAGGAGCAAAATTTGAATCATCTAACTCAAACTGTTCGGAGGTTATCGTCGATAAAGTTCGGTAAGAGAGAAAAGGATTTTTTTCCGACGCTGATCATTTCTGTACAAATGGCGGCACCGTAGGATCTTCCGTTAACGAGATCTCGAGTTTAGTGAGGAGCGAGAATGCTTTAGAAAAGAATCAATTTTACGAAAGTAACAAAAAACTAAAAGTCGTGAGCCCTATACAAATATGATTCCAGATGTAAATGCCATTCTTCGTTCCTTATTCCAAACTAAGCTTAGCCACTCGGAGGATGCTCTTGCAGTGCGGATATTATTTCGAAGTCCCTCTGTAATAAGTTAAAACTCCTTCATGCTATAAGTGTAATATATTGATTTGTGGACTCGAGCGGACTAGGGAGGGAAGTTAATTGCGATTGTTGTAATAGAGGGACGAACTAAAATTTCACGATGGCAATAAGGCCAGATTTAGATATCTGCCAGAACAGCTAAACTTTACACAACCCAACTACAGCAAAGCTGTTTTCCGGGGCTTATGGCGGCAAGCGTTTATCCCCTGCAAAAAGCGTCATGCATTAACCAGAAAACTAAGCCACTCGGTGGATGGTTCTGCAGTGCAGACACTACTCATATCAGTGACTTATCGAGTATTCGGGTGTGATAAAGCGCAGCGGAAAGAGTTTACACTGTAACTTCTGCAATAAATTAGAACTCCGTCAGACTGTACACTATAATTTCTTTGCGGTTAACTTTTTGATGTGATTATGGAGTTTTTGGTCGCCAACAGGACTGTTTTCGACGTAATCAATCGAAAACGTCATTACTGACTAGGACGAGTCGTTTAGTCGATTTACACGCGGAAATTAGGAGCACGCAGAACTATCGTAAACATATCAGTATTTATAGCGCGTTTCCGCTATTTTTAAAAATACTTGTTTTCGTCGACATTATACGAAGAATGAATTAAAACGTATATTTACCGTGCCGTTTCTGGCATCGTGCCAGCCGTCTACGAATCGGAACATTTTTAGAGCTTTCGGCGCATAGCAATGGAACCTGATGTCACCGAAATCGATTGTTTTGTTGTCACGAAACTGGGAAAGACGCGAGATCGGTGGCGTCATTGGTCATAGCCTACCGCCTCTCGAATTCCAGACGCCACTGCGTCGGTTTTGTGTAAATCACGACAGATGTCGCTATGGAGCGCGCACATTACGTAGAAACGAATTCCTGGTGACGTCCTTTGCAATATCATTACTGGGAATCGTAAATAAGTTTTCAAACAGATAAATGAAATTTTGAAAAACGAGTTAACTAAGGAAATAAAAATGTTTTAAGTATATTCACGTTAATTATTAAAAAATGTCTTAATTTTGTTCTCTCGAGGCCCAAATTTAATCATTTGATTTTGACAGTTTTTGTTAATTTGAGGTTAAACATTGAATATCCAAAACATATCAAATTAAATAAAAGGCACCCCGAATTTCCAAATACGGTTTTGTATTTAGTTAATTGCAGTCTATAATTATTAGTTTTCTTTAAAAAATCTAAAAATAACTGGAAACGAATTAAGCAAACTATGTTTGCTATCGTGTTTTATACTGTTAAATTCTGTCTTACAAGAAATTCATTTAATACCGACAGAGATTAAAGCAATATACTATAATATTATATATATATGTATATATATACATATATATATATATATATATATATATATATATATATATATATATATATATATATATATATATATATATATATATATATATATATATATATATATATATATATATATGTATATATATACATATATATATAATATTATAGTATATTGCTTTAATCTCTGTCGGTATTAAATGAATTTCTTGTAAGACAGAATTTAACAGTATAAAACACGATAGCAAACATAGTTTGCTTAATTCGTTTCCAGTTATTTTTAGATTTTTTAAAGAAAACTAATAATTATAGACTGCAATTAACTAAATACAAAACCGTATTTGGAAATTCGGGGTGCCTTTTATTTAATTTGATATGTTTTGGATATTCAATGTTTAACCTCAAATTAACAAAAACTGTCAAAATCAAATGATTAAATTTGGGCCTCGAGAGAACAAAATTAAGACATTTTTTAATAATTAACGTGAATATACTTAAAACATTTTTATTTCCTTAGTTAACTCGTTTTTCAAAATTTCATTTATCTGTTTGAAAACTTATTTACGATTCCCAGTAATGATATTGCAAAGGACGTCACCAGGAATTCGTTTCTACGTAATGTGCGCGCTCCATAGCGACATCTGTCGTGATTTACACAAAACCGACGCAGTGGCGTCTGGAATTCGAGAGGCGGTAGGCTATGACCAATGACGCCACCGATCTCGCGTCTTTCCCAGTTTCGTGACAACAAAACAATCGATTTCGGTGACATCAGGTTCCATTGCTATGCGCCGAAAGCTCTAAAAATGTTCCGATTCGTAGACGGCTGGCACGATGCCAGAAACGGCACGGTAAATATACGTTTTAATTCATTCTTCGTATAATGTCGACGAAAACAAGTATTTTTAAAAATAGCGGAAACGCGCTATAAATACTGATATGTTTACGATAGTTCTGCGTGCTCCTAATTTCCGCGTGTAAATCGACTAAACGACTCGTCCTAGTCAGTAATGACGTTTTCGATTGATTACGTCGAAAACAGTCCTGTTGGCGACCA